TTTATATTTACCAAGCAACACTGTTGTTGCAGTTGTTGTCCATTTACTAAGTAAACGGTATAATATTAGAAAGTTGGATGGTATGGGAGAGAAATTTAAATTTATTGCAATTATGCTTGGGACACGTTGTGGATACAGAATGGGCGAAATGAATGAAGTCCCTCTCAGTGGTAATGTCCTTTGGAAGTGGAAAATCATTCCAACTTCAGATATAGAATATTGAGTAGCACGCTTACTCAGATACTTGTTATTGTAAAAATGGGTTAATTAGATACACGCGATTATAAAAGTACGATTCACGTGTATTGCATTTAAGTTATGAAATGTGAAACTGTGATTCTTTGAATTTTCCAAAAAGTTTGAAATAGAACCAATGCCAATATCAGATCAGGACAGAGTTCCATAGGCGATTTTCTAATGCAAGTATTTTTTGTATGTTAGAGCCCTACAAGTAAGAATTCTTAACACCTTTTATTATGTAATCTAACTTCAATCCGATGGCTTCTTATTTCCATTTTTATGGCGATGTATAATAAGGTTCCTATTTTCGCGACTATCATAGATTTCAAACCTATTTTCATGTCTGTGTTGGTACCGATTACTTTTGCTCAAAATATGACATTTCTCGCTACAAATTTGTCATACATTCTATTTTGTGTTCGGTCGTTCGTTGCTGGATCTGCAGTGGAAAATAAATTTACTTTACGCGTATGTTGCGGTTGGCTTAGGTAGCAGTCACTGCGGTTAGCTAATCCAAATCCTAGATATTGCCATCATACGGTGGTGGCAATAATTACTACTGTAAAGTTGCCGAAGGGGTCACATTGCTGGTTCAGCAGACCAATTAATATTTTTTTCAAAGGCCTTAAATGGGGTCACCAAATGAGTTTATTTTCATGGTATATTGAATTTCAAATATGTGCCATCTTCACTGAACTTTGCGCTAAATTTCCAAACATCTTCCAGTGGCATTTTGTACCCATAGTCCGTTGTTTCGTTGTCATTTTTTATGTTTTCTTGTTTTTGTTTTAATGTCAAATCGAACTAGAAAATTCTGCCATTGTTTTGCAAGCTTTATTTTTGTTTAATTTTTTTTTTTTTGTAAAATAGTTGGCCAGTTTCTAACCATAAGCTGCTCCAGTATTTGCCACTAATACCTTAAAGCGTTTGCACTGCATTTAGCAAATGTTCTAGTTGTTGTTATTTAATTTTTTTCCACTTTTGCTCCCTTTTGTTTTCGCAGCATTTCATTTTGGGGTTCCATTTAGTCGGAGCCCTATTTACAATGAGTTGTTGTAGTTGTTATTTTGTTTTGTGGTCTTTGTTAATATCATTGCTACAACAAAAACAATTGTTGTTGCTACTGCTATTTGTTAATTGGCTTAATGCAAGTGTAGTTTTGAGTTCAATGCTTTACAATTCTTGTTTTAAGACTCATTCTTTGCCGACAAATGCTTCGAATTGTTTTGTATGTGTGTGAACAATAGGACGAAAAAAAAACCGATTGGTAAAAAAATTGAAAGCAAAATGAAAGTACAAATGAAAACGATTCTTGCCTATTGTGAAAATCAGCTGAAAGCGAAATTCCATTGATGAAATGTCAATTGGAAAAATTCAATTAAAAAATATCAAACAAATCAGAAACAATTGTAAGTTATGATTAAACCATTAAATGACATACATTGTTTGGACGACGGAAACGGTTAAGTTATACTTTTTCGTTAGTCCAAATTTAGGCCTTGAAGGCAAGATATTGGAAAATTTACAAAATTGTATTGGTAATTTTTGGGATTCAGTAGGAAAATATGCGTACTGAAAGAAATCTTTAAAGAAATCTGAGTTACTGAGAGGGAGAAATAGAGAGTATGAAGAAAGAGGCCTGAAGAAACTTATTCCTTTGTCATCTTAAGGCTAGTTTAAACATTATATCAGAGTCATATGTAAAATGACTGCTTTAAATTTGAGCATACATTTTAAACTAAAAATAAATAATTTGAAGCATTTTATAACGTAATATTTTTATAGTATAAGTATAGCATACAAATGTATACTATTGCGTATTATATTACATAGTTAACATATAATAGCGTTTCATTGAGCTTTCCAAGTTAATGGAAGCGTCTTTAAGTATGCAATGGAAATGTCAATTCGTAATAAATCTATATCTATAAAAGAGGAAAATGTTTATATGTTTGTTTGTAATTTATAGACTCAAAAACTGCTCAACAAAATTCCTGAAAAATTCCAAATATGCTACAGCATAGCCTGAAAGTAACATAGGTTATATACGTTTGGAAATTCCTCTTGGAACGGGAGATATAGCATCAGAATCGGAGGTACCTCCAAACAAATTAGTTTTTGTATGCACATATCTATTGATCGATTACAGATATAGTCTTCAAATTTGGAGTACCTATCGGAATTTGGGCAAAAATAGTTACATCAAATTGTATTGAAATCGGTTCAGATTTGGATATATAGCTCCTATATTTTGATTCACATATTTGATGCTCCAAACACGATATGTATGGCCGACTCCAATGAAATTCGAATTGAGTTAGCGAAATTATATTGAACTCGGTTCAGATTTGAATATAGCTCCCATACATATTTTCGACCGATTTGGTTTATTTGATGCCGCAAATACGATACGTATGTCCGATTGCAATGAAATTCGGGCTGAGAGACGAAATTTGGTACAATAATATATTCGCCAAATTTTATTGAAATCGATCGAGGTTTGGGTATAGCTCCCATATCTCATTTCAGCCGATTTCACATATCCGATGTACCAAACACGATATGTTTGTCCGATCCAATGAAGTTTGGAATAAATGACGGAATTTAGTACAGAAAAAAGCCAAATTATATTGAAATCGGTTGAGGTTCGGATATATATCTCCAACATATATATTTTCGGTCGATTTTACATATTTGATATGTATATCCGATTCCAATGAAATGCAGAATGTATGGTGGAAATTGGTAAAAAATTTCCAAATTATATTGAAATCGGTTGAAGTTTGGATATATCTCCCAATTAGGCCGATTTCGTATATTTGGTGCATCAAATATCTCCAATTTCAATGAAATATGGAAGGTGTGACGGAATTTGGTCCAAAATAAATTTTCTTAAATTTTAACAACTTGCATGAAGCGCCTTAAAGTATGTTATAACAATGCTTAACATAAATGAAGAAAAAGTAGCTTCACATAGGATTCTTACATTATGTATATATTAGCCTTAAGACGTTGATTACAAACTCTTCTAATTATTGTATGTACATCCGATTCCCTGTGGAAAATATGTGCGTATTTCCAAAATCGATTACATTCCATATTTATTGAAAATAACAATTCAGTAAACATTTACTTCGCCTGGCCCATCCAAGATCAAAAAGGACGAACAACAGCCAAAGAAAAAAAAAGCGCATAGGGAACAGAATGAAATTTGTATATTGGCTATGAGTCAGCATCTTTTGCAGAAATCACGAACGCCCCCTAGGGGGCAATACAAAATTAATTTGTTCTTTATGACTACGTCTAGGATTGCAATTCCATTTTATATTTTTCTTTTATTTCTTCTGCCATTTCCCTCCATCCATTTGTATGATGAAGGATGGCCAAGAAATTAAAACAGGGTCTTAGTAACTCGGTTTGTGGAAATTCTTAGGGAATTCCAACAGAGTGCAATACCCAAGGATTCAAGCAGGCTAAAATGGAACGCCAAGTCTATAAAAAAATAACGAAGAAACTGCTACAAATATTGAATAACAACACAACAAATATAAACAAGGAATGGAAATTGTGATACACACTGGCACTTCTTGGCCAAGTGCTCTTCTGTGTTAGGACTTTGCACAATAGCCACAAATACTTTGGCACACATAGAAGCAGCCAACGGACCCGACGAACCAGGCAACAGCCATAAACAATGGCAACAATTAATAATGAATCGTTTCTCTGGCGAAACATTGTAAATGCGTAAAACCACAAAATCTACCCAATCATTTACTCAACAACAAATACAAACACACACACTCGGACACACACACAATCACATGCCCATGGCCACAAACACTGAAAACAGCAACAAAACATTGGATGCAGTGTTTGACAGGACATGTGGTTTGGTGGCTTGGGGAATGGCCAATGGCATACCGAAGAGCACAAGGAGTGTGTGTGAGAGTAAACCACACTTGCACAAGGACAAGGAATGGCCAGGTGAGGTAGTGTGTGAGGACGGACATCATTATTAAAACAACAACAAGAGCAGCAGCAACTTTAAGTAGTATTTGTTCGAGTGTGTGAGTGTGTGCGAATGGGCGAAAAGTATCTGGTGTGGAACTGGTAAACAATGAACGATTAATGTTTATTTCGTTTTTCCTACACCTTAATCCGATACAACAGCTTGCGGTGTGAAAGCAGCCACAGGTAACAAAACTGCTGTTTCAACAAAATTCCCAACCAGATTCTCACTCAATCCCTCTTGCCACTTTCGCCGGCATTCCTATCGTGGGATTATGCTCGCCAACCGGAAGCACCCAAGAGAAAATCATTAATTTGGCTTAAAAACAGAATTTCTCTGCACGGGGATTGATAAATAGCTAAACCAAAATCGTTCCGAACCGAAGCACACAATGAGTGGAGTACTTTTGAAAATATTTTACTTAAAGCCTCACAAACTATTTCAAGTACAAGCATGGAATGGACACATGGATGTTTTCTTCTTCCATTTTTCCAACACTACAAAGTGGCCTTTCTGCTCGATATCAAAACTAATTGCATTTCACTTTAGCCGAATGCCAAGAGAACTCATCATTGCATGCAATTTTTCTTCGACCGCAATTGCCCATCGCTGGGAACAATTTTCGTAATCGCTCACATTCATCCATAAAAGAGCAACACTTTAATTTCCATCGAACCACAATAATAAATGGTAACAAATTTGTTCTTTCGGCGAGAGTTTGAGTCTGTGTGTGTTGGAGGATAGTACTTACATTCATTGCCAGGTATCGTATGGCCAGGTATTCCTATACCACCGCCCACAACACCACTGCCCGGATGATAGCTATAACCATTTTGCGTGGCATATAAGGCACTCTTCTGCTCCTCCATGCTGAGCGCCAGGTCCATGGAATGTTCCAGAGCCTTGTTGTCCAGCCCACTGGCCGGATAGTAGGGTGGCGGTGCCTGGCTCTGTTGGGCAGCAACAATTGATGGCCGCACCGAATCCATTTCATAATCTTTGGCCGCGGCACTCTTTTTCGATTGATTGCGCTTGCAACGGCAGAACATGAGCAGCAGACCAACGAACAGAGCAAAAACGATACACGAAACAATTATGGCAATTAAGGTTGGTGTGGCCAGAGCGGATGCCTCCGCAATATAGGATCGGCCAACTGCAAAGACAAAGGAAAGACAAACACAGAGTAAGAGAAAATGTTTAATTTTAATTAAAAAATTCGAAGACAGAGGCAGAAATTGTTTTGCATTCCCACCTAAGGGGCGGGAGGGGCAGGTAACGTTTACTTACTTTCAGCATCGGTGTATTCACCACAGTGCTCATGGTTCGAACGTAAGCACAGCTTTACACGAACTGTGGGCTGATGATCGTCTTCCAAGGCCAAGGTGTTCATGCTCATGTCCTCATCCTCATCGCCGTTTATGGAGTGACCCAGAGCACGACCAGCTGTACTGCGGCGGGGTGCAACCAGGCGATCTAGCACAGCCTCTTTGAATGTGGGTCCATTGCCAGATAGTTGCAGATTAACTTGATCGATAACCTCCCACGCCGCCATGGGTGTGTCACTGTTCATCATGGACTCAACCACTGCGATGAGTGACAGGCAGGTTGCACCCACATTGATTCCCAGAGTACGAGAATTGGGATCGTATGTGACATGTAGTGGTGGAGGGATTTTGCTTACTTTGGTCGTGGTCAAAATCTCATTGGAGTACGGCGACTTATCCTTGCTATTTAGGGCTCTCACTTTGAATGAATAGCTTTGATGTTGATCCAGTGGCGTAACTTTGCAAGGATTGTCACGATGGCAGTCGAATTCCATCCATTCTGTATTGCTGGTCGCCAAAGTTGCACAGTCTGGGATCAGTTGTTCTTCTGTGGGCATGGGCACACGACGATAGCTTACAAAGAATTTGGTGTTGTTGATGCCACCATCGAATCCGGGATCCCACGACAGCGTCACATAGTTGGAACCAACATCAATGGCCCTGGTGTTGGTGGGTTTCTCGGGAGGTCCCTTCTGCTGAAGACGTATGGGAGCGCGTATGGTGTTCAGTGAATTCACAACACGACACGTGTACTCGCCGTAGTCGGCGTGTGTTAGAGAATTGATGCGTAGGACGGATGTGTAGATATCATTGTTATCGGTGAAGGTATTGATTTCGTAGTGGCCATCTGATGACATGGTCAGCGGTGATGGATTGTTGCCAAATTGCCATTGGAATTCGGGTTTGGGATATGCCTGCACTTTGCACACCACTTCAGCCTTTTCGCGTATGTCGTAGGCCACTTTATTGTATTGATGCAACACAATTGGTTCGTGTTCGATGCGCAGCTGCATGCTCGAATTGGCCGAGTTTACTTCGTTTTCATAGAGACAAGTGTAGAGACCTCTGTCGTGGGGCACCAACTGATTGCCATTGGGACGGGCCTTGCCACGGAATTTCAACATACTTTGGACAGTAACCATACCATTTGGTCCTTGATCGGGATTTGTTTTCACTTCGTACAGATTGAGTTCGGGCAGAATTTCAACGCCATCCTTGAGCCAACGAACTGTGGGTGCTGGTTTGCCCTTGGCACTGCAGGTGACGGCATAATCCGTATCGGCAACTCGGCGAGTCATGTGCTGCTGTAATTTGGCCAAGAATTGGGGTGGCTGATGGATTTCCAAGACAATTGTGGCCATGGTGCCGATACCCAATTCATTGACAGCATGACAGTGGTATTTGCCCTCATTGCCCAAGTGGGCCTTGGGTATGGAGTACTGGGGTCCTTGTGCCAAGATCTTTTGAGCAGCTGTAAATTCTCCATCCATATCACGGAACCAACGATACTGTGGCACTGGCCAGCCTGGAGGTTTGGCGGAACATGTCAATGTCACACCGTTGCCGACATGCACAATTGGTTTGTTGGGAGTTATGTACGCTTGGCCGGGGCGATGACGCACCAGTAGGGCTACTGTGGAATTTCCAACACGTTCCGAACGTTCTTGGCCGTACGATTGGATAATGTTTACAGCTCGGCAAATGTAATTGCCAGCATTTTCGGCTTTGACAGAGGACAGGGTCAATACCTCCCCCGAATAGCGGAATTCTGGGGCACCCTCCTTCAGCCATTCCACGGTAATGGGGGCAGGATTAGAGGTAACGTTGCAGCGAATGTTCACCGTATCGCCCTCTTCGGCTTCACGGGTCTTTGTCTCAATCACCACCGTTGGCGGATACAGAATATCCAAAATCAATTCCTGCTCTCCCGTCTTGCCAAGGTTATTATCTGCTGAACATGTGTACTTGCCGGCATCCTGAATGCTGACACGATGTATGGTGTGGACGAGGCTCGAACCAATGAATCGGCCGTTGCGTGTCCAGCGTACATTAGGTACTTTGGGCTTGGCATCGACATTACACTCCAAATTTGCAGTACGATCACGTTCGACACGCAGCGGATTCTCGGGGCCAACTTCAACGCGTGGATAATCTGCAAAGAAAACAAGAAGGCAGAACAAATGTAAATACAGGCGAAAAAAATAAAATCAAAATAAAGCATTCAAATTCAGCTTAAGTCTCACTAATAGTAACCAATTTGAGTGGGTGGGTGGGTTGGTCGGTTATGACAATGACACAACAATTCAAATGCCTGTGTGTCGGTATGTTGGTTGTGAGGGGAAACTACCTTGGAGATGAGCACGACCCAGAACTTTAATTGAATATATTGGTTGGGTGGGCAACCTATCCGGAGGAACTGAATTGGCAAATAATGATTTAGTCGCCCGAGAAGCAAGGAAAGCAAAGAAAGAAAAAAATTATTAATAACCGCCTTATTGTTTTGTTGTTGTTGCTGTCGTGGTTAGTCCCTTTGGCAGTTAGTTAGTTGCTGATGTTGTTGAGGCTATCTAGTCATGGAGGCCTTCATGGGTGATACTTATTAAAATTCAAGCACGCACATCCTTTTTTCTGTCTGCTTTGATTTCTTGGTCTTCCTCTGCCCCTTCCTCTTTCTATCTCTCTTTGTATATTCTTGGGTTAATTAGCAACAGTATTTCATTTGCAAGCTTTACAAAATCTGTGCAAATCAGAGCTCATTATTACGAGATAATAAAATGGAAACAGTCACTGAGGCATTGAGGCAATCATAAATTCATCATTAATCCAAGGCACAAATAAACACCATTAGCATCATCAGCTTACCACGAGCCATTGGACGGACACATAAAACTCCAAATTCCCATACAAGGATGGTGATTAACGGTGCTGAGATTTGTTGTTTTCCGTGTCTTGGCCAAGGCGAAACGACACCTATCATGACTCCCAAACGACGGCCATAGCTCGGGGGATTTCTTTTATTGGACAACAACAGGCATTTTTGCACCCCCACCTCCTTCCACATCTGTTCCCTGTAATTAAAACACTTTTCACCAGCTCGTTCGTTGATGGTTTTCCACCATTTTAGTTTAATAAGTTTTTGGAACAATAGTAGCAGCCGGAAGGCAGAGAGAGAGAGAGAGGTAGAGACAGAGTAACAGGCGATTGCAGAAATTGCAAAGCTCAGCAGTGGCATTATTCCATTCCAGAACAGCCACATGATGGCAAGTGTCCACAATTCCACAATTAAAGTGCACCAGGTGTAGCCAGTGTACAAAACCACTCGCATTCCAATTAAATAGACTGTCATTTTATTATGTTGCTCGGTGTGGAGTCTATGTAGATGTGTGTGTGTGTGTGTGAGTGCGAGTGCGAGAGAGCGCGTCTGTGTGTGCTAGCATTTGGTGGACAATATTCCTGTGATCATGGAAATAAAGGATAGAAACAGCCGGGCAAGTGGTCGATAGAAAAAAAGAGCGAATGAAGCACATTTTTAATGGCACTAATAAAGTCACCAAAGACAAGAAATTGTTTGCTTAGGATTTTATTTGCCTATCTGTGGATGTGTGCAAACAATTCAATAATGGCTTGCTTCACTGGTCTCGCTGACATATTAAAGTCGGATAAAAATGTTGGCAAATTCATTAGGAGAAGGATAGAAGGTTTTATAAAAAAAAACAATTGACGAGAAAGTTTGAGAAAGTTGAGTGGAAGGCCTGTCATGATATTCTCTGTTTGTTTCAGTTAGAAGTGATCACCTATTTTGCGATACGAAATTTATTTGTGTTTTAATAGTGACAAGGTATGAATAGACTAGGCTTTGAGCCATGCCAGAATATATACAAGGAGAACGATGCGCTTGATTTAAATACATCGAAATAAATAAAGATCTGCAACATTGGAAATATAGGATTAGGTAATTTTTTAATACTGGTGAGGGAGTACCATTTTCAAATTAGCCTTAGGCATTCCCTTAACATTATATTTACAATTTCTCTGCAATATTTTGTATTTCTCAATTAGGACTTTTGAATTGAGCTACATTCATAGGTCTTTTTCAGCCGTAGCAGATTTTAATTCTAACATTTTTGTAAATATTATTTGGGGGACATATAGAGGTTTTGTTGTAGATTTCTCAACATTATTTCCGAATTATGGGATACGTTATTACATTGTTCCGGAAATCACAGTGCTCTGGAATATGCAAGTATATTAAGGACATTTTTAAATTTTTTCTTAGAAAACTTTCAGGAAACTTTTTTTGCAAATATATAATGGTTGGTATATATAAAGTCAGATTTTTCAGATTTTTTATCATAAATATTCGTGATTTTTAAGAACTGAGAGAATTTAACGTATGCCCCGATATTTATATATTCTTAGGAAACCATCACAATTTTTATTAGATATTTTAATGCGATTTAGTCGTGATATGTCTGTTTTCTCCCACTTTTTTGTACAAATTGTTATGAAATAATTTTTGACAACAACAAATCTATTAAACTTGGCAAAAACTTGGTCACATATAAATTTTAATTTCCAAAAGTGTTTACAACAATAAAACATGTTTATTGTTCTTTTTCTACACATTTTATGCCAGGACTATAAAATAGCGTCTGGAATCAAAATAACATACATCAACAAAATGATGGAAAGGAAAGGCAAGGCATACCAAACACAAAACAGCAAAGACAATCCTGTGAAATAATTGAATAAGTATAAAAAATATACATATGTATGTGTGGGTAACCTTCATGGAGTAGTAAATATATTGGGCCGAATTGTAATAGGGCTTTTTCTAGCAAAGCAACTAACACGGCTCCAAATAATATAAATAATAAAAAATTTAATATACCGAAAGGCTTTCCTGGTCATGTATTTAGATTCAAAATACAAAATTCAGTGGAGCCTAGATATGGCGAACGATTAGCTTTAAAACAGGGACTTTTCGTTTTAATTTTAAACTTTGTTTTAAAGGTTTTGTAGTAATTAATTTTTTTGTTCGAAATTTTCAGTGAAGCACGAATGCCCTCCATTAGGGACGCGGCTCAAAAAGCTTCTTTTGTGGGACTAAGGCGACACATTCATAAAGGTTTTTATAACAAAGTTATTGCAAACATGTATCTATCAAAATTTTCATAACACAAAATAAATAAATTTTTTTCTCAATCTATCAGAGCTTTTTCAGAGTGGAACTAGAATTTTGAAGGACCTATTTCTCACACACCTGTAATTAAGTCCATTGTATTCCCATGCCTTGTACAGTTTAAGACCGAAACGTCAACTTCTAATTTGCTTTTCTTGAAGTCAGAGTCATAACCAATGTTATGCTGGATAACTTTTAAAATTTTGTCTGTTGGGACATATGTTTAGGCGTCTGATTTCCGATTAAGAAAAAAAAGAATAATTTGGAACATATTTCAAAGCGTAGTTATTTTAACCGAATCATTGCGACAGTACCACATGGTACCACTTTTAGTCATACGTATTCTTCCTGCCTTCCAAAATTCGTGGAGGTTGACAATTAAGTAAAAATTGGAAAGCAAATGTCTCCGCAACGAAGTGGTTTATATATTTCCTAATACATATGAAAGCTTGTTACTGTTACGAAACTAATTAAGCTTCGAGAAAAAAATATAGTTCTAAATGTCAGTTTCTACATCGTGTTGTAGTCATTTGTAAAATATTTTTTTTTTACATTTTAAAATGAACAAATTTGTAGGAAACTATAAAGCGATGCCAACAATTTTTAAATTAAAATACTACTAAATAATAAGCAAATATTTATATAACACTTCTAATATAAATATATTACTATATACTATATTGAAGAGCATTCCCTTGCAGTTAGTAAATTGTGTAAAGCTAATTAAAGTATATTACAAAAATGCTTGAAATAAATGTAGAACATATAACTTTACATATGACTTTAACATTCTGTGTATATTTGCCCTTACTGGACCTTTATAGGACTTAGATAAATAAAGATTACCCACTTTTTTGACATTTTACTATTAAATTTAACCAACGTATTGGGTAAAAATGTCATTAGTTGTTCGTCATATCCATAGGTGATAGTATCATAAACAACTCCCTACAATTTATTTTGAACTTCATTTTTGTGATGAGTTATAAAATAGACGAATAACATAATATATTTGTCAAAATATTGACGCTTCCCGAATATTTATATATCCACATACATACATACATACATAGCTCTCCTCCCTAAGCATGAATAGTCTAATATACCTGGTTTGCGTGCCAAAATGTTATGATTCGTTTTAATGCCTCAAACGAACCCAGTAAATGTGGCCGATACCCAACAACAATAACTGTCTGTAGTCGTTAAATTGTCCGCACTTTTATTAACAATTTTATGATAATTTTAACAACAATTCACCAAAGTACAACAATATAGCAACAAAAGGAATATCTTTTGCACATAAATAACACTTTTGTTAAAGAAACAAACATTTATGGCTGCTTCGTTATGTGAAAATGTTTAATGTGCATGACAAACAAACATTAGCACCAGTTATGGTGAATGTTGGGCTCATATTTAACCGTTTCCATCAACAAAAGCGGAAAATATTTGAGTTGTTATGTTTTGATTTAGTTACGTGGTTAAATGTTAAGTTGGATTAGGTTGCAAATGTAATTAGATTGCCATATATCATACAATATGGCCCAGCGAACATATTATGGTGTATTTGAGGGCCTTGCATTGAGATTTTTAGAGCAAAGAAGGTTTCAATAGTTTTAAGAGAGCAGAGGTAGGAGGATAATCAAACAAACATTTCACATCAAAATTGAGGAAATATCTCAACGACCTTGATTTGCAATTTTATTCCCCCTCCTATATTCCTACCAAAACTGGGTAGAGGTTAGAATGACATCGAGTTTTCCAATCAATATTAACTTATTTATATTTATGTGCCAGATAACAACACAACTGTTTTGTTAAATTGTTTTGTTTACATTAGCTGCTTCAACTTTTCACTGCTACTCCATTTAACGGTTTATTTACTTGTCTGGGGAAATCTCAAGGAAAAATGTTAATAGTTGCAAATTTGATTTGGGCAAATACAGGGTGTAAATATTGAAATAATTTTC